TTTAACACCCATGACTTTCGTCTGAATCGCTGCGATTCCTCCCTTCCAGTTTGCGCACAGGGGATGCATCCAGAGGTGGTGCGACGAGAAGGGAAGCACAGTCTGCGAGATATGCCTGCAGGTACGCACAGAAAACCCGCCGCCATAATTCCTGTAATTTCTGGGGTTAATATGCTCGGCGACTTCTTTCCCCTGTAATTCCTTCGTTTGCTCTTCCGATTTCGTCGCACTATCTTCATGTTCTGGTCTGAACCGCGATTTCTGAGGACTTAAGGAATTCGAGCAGATTAATCACGGGATTAGAACGAACCCATGGTTCTTTTTCTCTGGGACTTCCGACGGTTTTCTCGTCTGTTCATGCCAGCTCCTCTGAATCGACCAGCCAACTACCAGTGATCCCTTCATTGGCTGCCAAAGCGGGCATCCAAACGTCCGGTAGAACGCCGACGTGGGCCTGCTGTCTAATCAATCCTTCAGTCTTCGACCCGAGAATCGATCGACTCGGGTCCACCGCCTTCGTCCTCGACCTCCCTCTGAGAACGACGCTGGTTTTCGACGATTCAGTAACTCGGAGCATCCTCGTTTTGATTGCGATTCAAGCTCCTCACCGACCTGCCTCTGATTCGGAGACTAATGAAAACTCTCGCAGAAATTCGAACCCGGCTACTCTGTTCCCCTAAGGAAGGCGCTGGTCGAGGTGGGGGTGACGATAAGGTGCCCCTGTCTTCCTCATCTTCTTCTTCTTCTTCGGTTGATCTGTCTGATGGTTTGACGAGAATATAATACTGCTACAGGGGAAGTTTGGAGGTCCCCAGACAAAACTATGCGCCACCGTACGAAAGGGAAGCCGCTACGGAGGGCGGCGGGGAGGTGGCAGAGTACGCCGAATGCTCGCCGGCGTCGGAGAGGGGCGCCTCCGCCTGCCGGTACGTCGCCGTGACGGTGGGTTTTCTCATGCCTTTCCCAATCATCCGCGTCCAACTACCGGACCGTCCGGTCTCGTCGCTGACTCGATGGAGGCGGCTTCTTTCTGCTGCAGCTCACGGTGATACTTCTGGCCAGACATCTCGTCTCCGTGATCATGGAAGAGCCCGACCACTACGCCTTCACTCTGTTCACTGTAAGCTCTCCGGGTTTCTCGGAGAATTGCTTCAAAGTAGACACCTTTGCTTCTCTGCTAACGTCCCCTCCCTCGCGCCTTCTGCCCAAGCAGGTGTTCGTCCTGAGGGCGAGCGGGATTCTACTGCCGTTCTACGTCATCATGAGCGCCATCAAGGGTATCCAGTACTCCCAGCGGCACCAGCTGCTCCTGCGGCAGCTCCATGTCTGTAGCCCGCCCTCTCTCTATCTCTCTGCAATTCCTCCTTTTTCCTTCGGGATCGCCAACTTCTTAATCCCACCGCTACGGTTCTTGCAGGAGGGGAACGGGGGTCCACTTCAGCGAGGACCACGCGAAGATGAGCTCCTTCAGCACCACATTATACAGATCCATTCCTGAATTGCAGAGAGAGAGAGAGAGAGAGAGAGAGAGAGAGAGAGAGAGAGAGAGAGAGAGAGAGAGACGGTAGCTTCCCCTTGTATGGAGGAGGGTAGGCACCAAATATTGGATATATCACACAATCAATGTATACAAAATTTACAAAGAAGGGAAGATCATCGCATTGAGGTCTTCCTTCCTGCCTCTTCATATCCTGCTTCTCCCACTAGATTTGGGGGCGAATCCACAAAAGTCGCCAGCCGCGGTTCCGCAGCTCAGCTCGCTTCGACGAGCGACCCAGCTTTCTGCTGAAGCTCGATTAGCAGCCTCAGGTTGGAGGCTACCGGATCCCTCACCGACAGGCGGACGAAGTCCCGGAGAACGGCCAGACTACCCTTCCCGCCGCCCTTCCCCTTCCCGTATGTTACCTCGAACTCCCGTGACTTCTCCGCAGCCTTCTCAAGAACAGATCCGGGAAGACCTTTAGAGAGAGAGGACCCGGTCATGCGTTTACAGAATAGTTGTGTAGAAAAAGTGATGAGAACCGTTTAAGGAAACATACCGGCCAACCGCGCGACATTAACGCCGTAGCTCTTGGGGCAGAGGCCGGGCTTGAGCTTGTAGAGGAAGGTGACCTCCTCAATGCCGCCGGCCCCTTTCCCAACATGGCAAGACATATGGCAGAGGGATACCTGCGGGTGGTTCCACGACGATGAAGTCCCTCCTTCCAAGAAGTTGGGGAAGATCGTTGAGACGCAGCCAGAGAGCAGAAATATACCTCGGGATTGTCCTCGTAGGCTACAGCCAAGCGGTGGTAGTGGGTGGAGAACAAGCCCCGGCATCGCACGCTTCGGACGAAGTATTCCAGTACAGAATCCCTGTCACGAAGGAGGAGGGACGGTGAGTTGACTAACGAAGGAGGCTCGCCCCCAGAGGTCCCACTGTTCTTACGCTATGGCCTGGCCGTCAGAGGTCGACGTCCCCCGGCCGAGTTCATCCAAAACCACGAGAGAGTTGCGGGTGGCAGACGACTGCAGCGACGAGCAAGGCAGAAAAAAATAGCCAATGTGAGAGGAATCAACGCAGAAAATGCTCCCTTTCTTTTGAAGGAAGGCGTCGAAAGATCCGGTCTCACCAGCATGGACGCAGTCTCTGTGAGTTCTGTGAGGAAGGTGCTTCGGCCGGAGATGATGTGGTCCCTGGCGCCCATTCGGACGAAGATCCGGTCGACGGGGGAGAGCTCGAACCTTTCCGCAGGAACGTCAGCACCCAACTGGAAGAGATCGCTCGGAAATGAAGAGGGCTTTGAATATTTCTATCTTTAATGGGTTAAGTAAAGCGAGATCACACCTGGGCAAGAACCGAAGCCAGGCAGATCTGCCGGAGAAGAGTGGACTTGCCGCCCATGTTGGGACCAGTGAGGAGGATGAAGCTGGGATGTCCGTCCCCGCCGATGCGGACATCGTTGGGAACGAAGGAAGCTGTACCCGAGGCATCACTGCGAAGAATCGGATGCCCCAGGCTTCTGGCAAACAGAGGAGGAACAGAGTCACTCGAAGGAGACGTGGGTTTGATCGTCGGCCGGCAGGTTGGTCCGTCGTAGTGGTCACTGGCGATCGCCAGACATATCAGGACGTCCAGCTCTGTAAAATACGCAGATTGTTAAATAAACTCGATAAGTTTAAGGGGAAACGGAAATCCGTGTTCTCCTATGTAATCCATCAGAACACAAAAATTCAAAGAAACTTAATGCACATGAATAAATGTAGCTAAATTGCTATATATTTCGACATTTGGAGGAATCACTTCGCGGCATTTACCTCCATTCAGATATCATATTGTCATAGGCTGGCGACAATTAGTGCATCGAAGGCTTGTTTCTATCTCAATATTTAGTTCGTTCATTTCATTATCGTTCAATAAGTGTGCATCTAGAGCAGGATGGCGCTTTGCATCCACCATGGATACATCGAATGAAAAATTTTAATGCAAAAAATACAGATTTGAGTGTGTAGGTGTATATAAATTGATCTATTTATTAGGTTCATGACTTGCCTGCTGTTGCAGAAACCAACTGCCTCCACAAACGATGATATCCGCTAAACCGCTTGATCAGAACTTGTAAAATGCTTTTCAGCTTGGACTCCTTCTCAGCTTCAGCTTGGGAGAGCTCCGCCAGCCACATTTTAATTTTTGTCGTCCAGTACCGAAAATAGCCCTGAATACGCAGAGTAAAAACGTCAAGAACCCGTTCAAGGACGTTGACTGGGAGGTCAATCAATGAGGTCATATGGGTGGTCCGCACGTCCATTGGATCTCCTTTTGAGGATCTTCTTGTATATTCATCAGGCAAGGTTTTCGATTTTTGGTGAGATTATGACATTTGATCCAGAAAGACGGTGCTGTTGCAGGCAACCGCTATTTAGGATCAGAGTAAGGTTCATAGAGGGAACGTTTTCTAGTAGGCGTCGGAGCGAACACCGCACTGTTTAGCATGGATAAAAATGATCTAGACCTCAAAGGCTCCAAAAATATAAGAGAATATAACATGACAAGGGTTTTAGACCGTGAACCTTTAAAAACATAAAAAAAATAGTATCTGGATATCTGAAGACAATCCGAAGGGTAGCACGAGTCGGACTGATGGATATCTTGACTCTGACCAAGTAACCCCAACCTCTGATAGTCATTGAATATAAGACTACAATGGCTCTTGTTCAAGAATGATTTCTGAAGTGATGGGAAACTTCTGTTCAAGCCACCAACCTTTTTGGAGGAACGAAGCTCATAGTCTCGGGGAATTCTCCCTCCCAAATCCTCGGGAACTTGCAATAAATATAGCTCCTTTCCAACAGTTGCATAAGTGATCTATGAAGGACGTCAAATGAGGAAACATCAAGAGAAAGATGAGAAAGCATGGAATGACGCAATTCTGAAGGACGCCCTTACCGAAGCATCACCCAGAGCTTTGCGTTGCTCCTTGAGGTACCTGGCCAGGCTTGATTCTATGTCACTTATTGTTCTACAGGCAGAGTCATAGTCAGCGTCAACCCCTTGATGAGGTACAATACGCCCGGATTGATCAGCTTCTGCCCAATCAAAAGCATCCTTAAACTGGTTTATAACGGAATGGACATCTGGGAGGTCTTTGCCTACACACAACAGTTTGTAAATATCGATGTCATATCTAATAGCATAAGTAAAGCTTGTAATATGAGGAAATAAAGCACCACCTGGCGTTAAAAGGTAAAGGAGCAAGTTAGATTTAGTTTCTTCCAGTATAGAACCCAAAGAAGAACATGCCTTAGCCATAACTTCACAACCACGTAGACAAGCTACGAACTCTTGAAGTTGTTTCCTTGATGCATCCTCATAAAGGATTACTTTGTTGGCATTTCTCCCATTAGCCTCACTATGGCACATTGAAAGAACCACCGACACAAATCAGGGTTGAAATCATTATAAGCAGATATTAAAAGAAATATATCAAATACACAAACAGGCCACATTAAGTTAAATATTCCAATTGAACCAAATCTTCACAGCATACGGAGTGACGACATAGACCTCTTAACATCAGTGGAATCATTAAAATCACAAGATCATTCAAGGAATTTTGATGCTTATTACTTCTGTCGATATGCGTTAGAAATGCAGAAGAAAACAATGTTTTTGAGGTTTTAATTCCAACATTTAGTGATACGTCAGTTGATGACGGTACGGAGCTTTTAATTCCACCTGTCTACGAAACCTTTGAGAGCTGACTAAGACACTAACTGGTATTTTCAAGCTGTAGATATCAGTTGGTTTTTATTATTTTAGTGATTTGATGTAACTACTAGTCAGTTTTCAAGCAATTACTACATCTCAGCGTAGAAACAATAATGAAGTCATAACAACACGAGCCGTAAAATGTCCAAGATAATCCACAAAATAATTAAATTTTAGACACAAATTGCCAAGAAAGTTCAACCTTGGGCGAGGTTCATCACCGCTAGAAAAAAGAGATGCGAGGGGACGTACATATTGAAACCCAAACATTTCACCAGCATCAGTAGATGTAAAATTGAGGTAGTTGACAAACCAATCAAGACAGGATCCTAATTGATAGCATTGATGGTTGGTTCAGCAGAATGAACCATGGGTATAGAACAGGATGGCGTGACTTTATACTTAGGAAGAGAACTTTGCCCTTTTACCAGGTAGAAAAGAGGCGAGCCAGCAGGCGTTCCATGTCCGGAAGCTTAGCCAAATCTTTTCGAAATTCAAGTGCCGAGCCCAAAGCAGCTCCCTGTAATCGAAGTTGTGCCATATGCAAGAATAAAGTAAGAGAAATAGGTCCATGCAACAAGAATTGGTTCTTTAGTTTAAAGACGAAGTCATAAATTTAACACGATAAGATACTTCCTTTCATTTTTATAGAACAGCTGACACAACTGCCGGTGATATACCCATAAACAATATCCTGGTGTCAGTCGTCAACTGTACAATATGTCTGTCGTGAGGTGATGGATGCATAACATCTGCTTTATACTTGCAGAGCAGTCTTGACTTGGAAAAATACACAAGTGGAAGCCTAAATTTCTCTAAAAGAACCTTCTGCATTCCTCTAAAAAAACCTCTACAAAACCACTAAGGTAAACTACTAAACTGCACAAAAAGGATCCCTCGCATGTTCTACGATGATCTCACTGGAAACATTCCCCAGACAAAGGTCAACAAGTACTTGTGTCAACTGTCACGTATTTTGAAATTGTAGGATGACAGCAACGCGTAAATAAACGAGAATTGTGTTGTTAAAGTCATCAAATCCACTTGGACCAGCATGCCTATTAAAAACAGGAGCAGAGTTTGAACCATATCTTTTGGGTTCTTAATATAAAGGCATCATGATCAAATTGGAAGTGATAGACATAATAGATACGATGAAATTAACTATGGAGTGCATTTCGAGTCACAATCTAAGCAAGTTCTACGAGATTGCATCAGCATATAGTTTATTGATTCACGACACTGATCAAACAGAAGGATTCTGTTGTCTTCTGAAGACAAACAGAGTTTCTTTCTCTCAGTGAAAATAAAGAAATACGAATCATTTGATTGGAAACCCTCATGCATGAAATCCTTCATCTGTTGAAGATCCAGAAGTTCTACTACCAGAGTCATAAATAAGACTGACGTAGTAAAATGAAAGGAGAAACCGAAAAGGCATTAATTCAGAAACTGTGAAATAATTTTGAAAATCAGTAATGGACCTTAAAATATGCAACTGCATCCTGCCGTTCAACGATAGACTTTGTATCATAAAGAGGTCGAGCAAGCCAGCTTTTGAGCAACCTTTTGCCAGACGCTGTTGCACAGTGATCCAGCTGAGCAAGCAATGTCCTAAATGATAGATGGTATCACTTTAGTTGACAAATAACCCAGAAAATAAATGCGATAGTTTATTAATGAATTCTAATTACCCAGAGAAGCCTCCATTCTTGTTCTCTAATATCTCAAGATTCTCAAGAGCGGATGCATTAAGGATCATATATGGCCTTTGGATCATATTTATCACCCCAGAATATGGGAGTGACTCAAACTTGGCGCATTTAATTAAAGATTCATCCAGTAAACATTGTCGAAGATAAAACAAACATCCTCCAAAAGCAGAAAGGGCATAACTACCGTTCTCTCCAGCATTCATGAAATCAGATAAGACATCTGGGAAGGAAGAAGACTCGTTCACCGCATCATCAGATGCGTCATTATCCAAAGATCCAGAAACAGGCGGATGCCCACATTGCTGATACATATTTTGAATCTCTTTGACAGTCTTGAGAGAGTCCCAAAATTCCACAGAAGGGACTAACTCATTAACTAGAGGACACCTTGTATGTCTCTGAAGTGCTCTTTCAGTTTGAGGACCCAGAACTTTAGAGGGCTTTATGATTTCCACAGGTCTCAACTCAGACAGCATAGAACATAAACACTGCCGCTCAGAATCGTCTTCAAACTGTAAAGAAAAATTAAGACAAGAAGAGTATGAAACATAGACACTAAAATTAGCTCCGAACAATCTGAACCTTGGCCCCAAAAAAAATCATTGATGCATCTTGAATAACTTACCTGTCCGAGCATAAATGTACTCGTGCACACGTCAACTACACAAACACCTAATACAGTTCTCTCCCGGTCCTCTAGAGTTGCAGATTTCTCTGTCAAAGACAACAAGTAGGAGGCATCAGCATGCCTAGACAGCAACTCACCCTCGGCCAGTGTTCCTTTTGATACAACGGCACAGATTTCGCGTTTCACGACCTATGAGACCACAAAAAGAAATAAGACGGTCAATGGCACTGACAATATCTTTCCTTACAAATTGATCCACAAGTGTTCCCAAGAAAATTCAAGATACTTTCTCAGACACAGTACACTATTTACACTTAAATGGGCGTTACTGCTCACTGAGATTTATTATCAACTATAAATTAACTATGGAAACAGGCTTAATTAAAGCTTTTCAGGACGTATTAAACGACCTTGTCTTTGGAACCCATTTCCTTGCGACGAAGTTCAAGTTGTTCAGGTGTCTCAGTTTGCTCAACAACAAGAACTCGATAACCCTGCACAGTCACATTCCTTCATCAAAAAAACTGAGAAAGAGCAAATCAAAACTTTCAATAAATTACTAAATAAAACACAATAACTGAAGAAGCATACAAATTACGCGTGAGAACAAACCTTTCTGACCAATTTCTCCAAATTTGTTGAAAAATTCTTCTCAGGAAACCCACAATGTGGTTGCTCTCCCTGAAATAAAGCAACACAATCCACAGAAAAGATAATATTGACGCTGGTCTCAAGCATCACTGCGATTTGAATCGGAGCAGCATAGATAATACACCAAGATATGCTTGGTGAAACGAAAAGAGCTAGGATGTGCTACTAATTAGAATGTTATGCCGTCAAACCACTTTTACCTTCATGTATTGCAGCTCAAGGTCCTTCGCCCCAATATGTGCGTCCATTTCAAACAACTCATAAAACTTTCCCATCTGCTCCATGAAATAAATCTAAGATGTTGATAGTTATAAAAAAAAATAATAATCAAACTATGTTGGCCTTTTTGTATAAAGTGCAGATTTACCTTAAAAAATAAAACTTTGTCCATATGTTTAGCCTTGAACTCCCACCATTGTCTCTACAAAGTTAAAAAGCCAGGGTTACGAAGATACAAAGAGAAATAATGTCAAAAGAAAAAACGTACGCTAGGTAGTGCCGTTTGTTTAAAATTAAAACCTGGCCGCCAGTTAAGCTTTTTAAAAACTCTGGTGGCAGGTACAGTGTTTTTGGATCGTAACTTGCATCTCCAGGTCGTCGTTTATTGGCATCCTTTCGTCCCCTGTGTCATCGTCAGCTTAGGAAAAAATCAAGTAAAAATACGAATAATACTGCACTTCTAACCGCTTTATATTGAGGTGAAAGGGAGGAGAAGAAGAAAGATACGTGCCATTTACGAAGTCATAATGCCTCTGATAGAAGTGTGTTACAGTTGGTTGTTGGTGGATACTACCAGCTTCTGGATGAGTTTGGGTGGCAATGGATCCGTGGCTTAAATAAATAAGTGGTTTGCAGATTGGCCTAGAAGGGACCCTGTTGCCCGGAATTTTTTCGGTGAGTGCATAAGGATACTTCATTGTGATCGGATTCGAAACGTAAAACGATTTTCAAACACCACTCTTGGTCGCTCAGGCAGATCAAGTCCAGTCCCAGTGTAGGTCTGGCTTCAGTCTTCTATTATTGGTCGACTCTATATTCATGACGTTAAAATCTCAAAATAATTTCAACACAACAACAGATATGTAGTTGTACACCATCATCACGTTAGTAACACAAATCAGTGATGGAATGAAGTCACCATAGTCAAAGGACCAGACTATCTTTACTTGGAGCTGTTGCGTCTTTGCTCCACAATAGAGCTTCACAAGAATCTTTCCTCCATTAGCAGGGCTGTATGGCCCATTCTATGACTCTGTGATCGTGTCCACTACACCCCCACTGCGAGTACCCTCCTTTCTCCGAGTAATCCTCCGGGTAACATGGCTCAATCATGCGTTCTCAACATAAGCCAAAATGGATTGATGCATTCTTTGGGGCAGTAATCGTTAGATGAAGGGGTAAATATTATAAATGAAAATCGAACGAGAACAGAGATAGAAGTCTAAATGAAAATCAAGCCTTCAGTTTAGTAAGCACTTACTCCCCAAGAAATCTAAATTTTTCTGTTTCTCGCTTTCCAAAACGCTCAATTGCATCACTGGACAGTAACTTATCTGTATTATGGAGTTCATTCCTTCCTGTGGAAAAAAAAATATAAATCTTATCATTCATACTCTTCTAAACATCAGGGAAAAAAACCTTGGAAACAGGAGAAAAACAGAAGCATGCTACGGTGTTTGTTCATAATGGAGGATTTATTCAATAACCTCAAGCCATTGTTAGATCAGTTGGGAGCAGTTTACAAAAATGGTATTAGTACTTGTCGTACTCACTTTCAAAATTGTTCATCGTCCCAATAACCAAGTTTCCAGGATCACCAACTGGAAACGTGGACAAGAGTTTCTTCGAATTTACATCAGACCTTTCCTTCTTTGCAGGGTCAACCTTATCAGCTTCTCCCGTTTTCCGTTTTTTTGACGCTGAGTTCTTTCCTCGACGTGTCTTTGGGTGTTCTTCGCCACCGTCACTATTTTCCTCTTCTAGCTTCATTTCATCTGAACCCTTGTCGATTTCCTCCCCCGAACCCTCGTTCCAGTCTTCGTCCTCGGTAGTGTCTTCCCCTGTTTGCGAGCCCTCTGTGACGTCCTCCCCAGTGTTTGTATCCCCTGTCGATACCGTATCAGGCAACAACGATTCCGAGACTGAGGTCCTACGCCGCAATCGGCGAAAGCTCCTCGCAGACTCCTCAACCCATTCGATTCGCTCAGCTCCAAGGTCCAGAACCTCCTCCTCGGCATCAGCATACTGAACCACATGCTTGCCAGCTTCCCTATCAAATGACTTGACCTGTCCTTCATACCAGGTCTTGTCCAGGGGCCAGAATACCCTGAGTCTCCGCCCGATAACTTCCTCCCCTAGTCGGGGATTTGCGGCTTTGAGCGACGAGTCGGGTGTGTGGCCGACTACCAAGAGGGGCTTCTTCCTCTTAGAGGACGGAAGCGTGAGGTCAGGGTCAGGTTCAGGGTTGGGATTAGGGTTAAGGCTGAGGACACCTTCAGGAGAACAGTCTTTTGGGCTACAGGAGGCGGCGTTCCGGGTGGAGGATACGCTGGGTACTTCTCCGGGGCTCTTCCCGGGGGAGAAGAAGGCCGTTATTTGGCTTTGCTTTCGAACCAGAGGGGAGCGACCATTGCTGTGGCGACGAGAAGGGGCCATGGAACGCGACGGACAGACCCGGGCGCCACCTGCTGGGATCTCTTCCCTCCGATCGAGGGAGAAGAAGAACAGACAGAAGAGGAAGGGAGGAGAGAAACCCCACCGAACTTTGAAGGAGATGCCCTAGTCAGGTGAAGGAGACGTTGGCAAGGGAAAATATCTGGCGGGAAACGAGTGTGTCCACGAGGGTAATAATGTCATTCCATGCTATGATTTCACGTCTGCCTAGCGGCCTACCTCTCAAGGTTTCCCGCTTTTTTTTGGTGGTAGTCGGCCCACTGGAGTCTTTCGAGGTTTCCTCTTTCGTGGGCGTTCTCGTTCCTTTGTGATCTGAAACACTTCGAGGTCTGTAGGGAAGCACCTTGGCCACCTCTTCGAGCATCATCTTGAGCTTCTTCAGGCTGGGGGAGTAGCCTGTTTTCGCTTAGATCGCTTCCTTAATCACTTATCTTCCTTTCGTCGGCTTGTTTTGCAGATCGGAGGGATTCTCGCGAGCCCCAGGGTAACATAATTTACCATACGATCCCTTTCCCACGTGCTTCTTCTTCAGAAATCCTCGTGGAATGCTCTTGTATGATTGTCTTGTGGACTCCGGGGTCATCTCGCATTTCGCCCTGGCCGGAAGCGCCGTCTGCGAAAGCTCTGAGGTGCGCTCTAAACCTGTGGTGTTGTCCGTATTCGACTCGATCTCATTCGCTTTGGCAGTGGCCTGTGGTGTTGCTTATCTTTTACTCTCCTATCTGGATTTCGTGGGGGCAAGAGAGGATGTGGGATCACAAGAAATCCCAGGAAACCATGAAAAAAGAACGCGTCGACGCCAGAGTAGAGGTTTGATTTCATTGCTCTTCTTTCCGGAAAAGCTCACTCGATGCTGCGCTTCCGGTAAGATCAAGAAATATTACTGTTTAACCCTCCCTTCGGTACTAGAATAATCTTTCTGCGTTTCTGTGAAAATTAAAAGAGAGGAAAACATAAGCTACAGCTTGGCCAAACTATGAAATCCACATTTCAACTATCACGAGCTTTTCATGCTCATGTCTATTCGACATCAAGTTCAGAAATTCTGTACATATCCTGACATTGCTGATTTTCACACGTATATTAACGTTCATAACCAATTACTAACAGAACGGGAAGCTCAAGTCTATGAGACGATAGATTACGGCGAGGTCGTCATTCATGAATTCCATGCCACAAACTTCAATCTCAACCATTGCGGGGCTGCCATCTTTTGCTTGAGTTATTTCTTCACCCGCGGGAAATCCGATCAAAACCATTTGAAAAGCAGCCCTCCGTGCTTCGCAAAAAATGGAGCAAAGACGAGTGATTCTACGGCCATAAGCTTTATAAGGATGTTCAGGGAAGGGCCTGAAGTGTCCTTGAGGGGATCGCCAATTGTGTCGCCGATGACAGCTGCCTTGTGCGGATCAGACCCCTTGGGACCCAATTTCTTTGCGTGTTCGGTGGCACCCGCCTGGACAAGTCAACCCAAGTTGGGAGTTATCACATAGTCTATGCTTATCTTTAAATTCTCACAATTGAGGTAAAGTCGTAGTCAAGTCAGAGCCGTTGAATGAGACAGGTTGTTTTCCAAGGTACCTCTATGTATTTCTTTGCGTTATCCCAGGCACCTCCGGCGTTGGAAGCTGAGACAGCAACCTGCACATGGAGAACACCATTCTGAGTCTTCAACGAGGAGCGTTATTACTCTTCGTGGATCGAGACTTCAGTGATGATTGCATGTATGGAAACACCATGTGAAGGAAACAAACCTGTACACCAGACACAAGAGAGCCAGCAAGAACTCCAGAGAGAGTCTCAACACCGAAGAAGGTCCCGGCGATCAAGGGTGTAAGCAGAACCAATGCACCAGGAGGGATCATTTCCTTCAGTGAGGCGTCAGTGGAGATCTTCACACAAGTTGCATAATCCGGCTTCGTCCTTCCTTCCAGGAGGCCGGGAATCGTATTGAACTGCCGGCGGACTTCTTCCACCATCTTCAGAGCGGCACTGCCAACACTCTTCATTGTCATGGCTGAAAACCAGTATGGAAGCATGGCACCCACGAGTAGCCCGATGAAGACCTTCGGAGCCAACACATCAACACCCTTGAGCCCAGCTCTGCTCACAAAAGCACCGAACAGAGCAAGGGAGACAAGGGCCGCAGATCCAATCGCGAAACCCTGAAGACGAGATCGAGGCTATCAAGTTGCATCACATTATAAAAGTACAAACGATTCACGACACCAGTGGATGACAAAAGGCGGTACCTTGCCGATGGCAGCAGTTGTATTTCCGGCCGCATCCAGAGCGTCTGTTCGTTCACGGATCCTGCGGCTCATGCCTGCCATTTCAGCGATCCCTCCGGCATTGTCGCTTATAGGTCCATAAGCGTCAATCGCGAGCCCTGTTGCAATGGTGCTGAGCATCCCCAAAGCTGCCACGGCGATGCCATACATTGCTGCCAAGCTGAAGCTCACATAGATTGCTGCAGCGATGGCGAATATGGGCACTATCACGGACTTGTACCCCAGAGCCAGCCCAAATATCACATTTGTCGCTGCCCCAGTTCTGCAGGAGTCCGCCACGTCCCGGACAGGGCTGGATTGTTCCCAAGGCGCGTAACATCATCAGGATTGATAAACTGAATACCCGAGGTGTCCATGGGGAATGAAGAGTAAGAGGGCTCACCGGTAAACACTGCTTGTGAAGTACTCCGTGCTGTAGCCAATCACAAGCCCAGTCCAGAGGCCTGCCGAGACACAGAAGAAGAGGTGCCTGTCCGAAACATGTTTCTTTTCTTAGATGAGAATCAGGACGGTCAAAGATGTTGAATTTATGAGCAATGGAGCGAGGCACAGTACCAGTTCTTCACAGTCTTTTCTGATCCGAAGTCGAAAAGGGTGAATTTCGACGGCAGGGCTACAAAGCTGACGATGGCTATCCCCACGGTCATCAGGACAGTGGATATGAGAAGCTGCTTCTTCAGCGACGGCTCGATCTCCTTCACGGTCTTAATCTCGAGGAAATCTGTGGCGAACAGAGTGGTGATCAGGCAGACTACGATCCCCATTGAGCTTATAATGAGGGGATATGACATAGCGGAGAAGTCGTGATCGACCCCGAACGACGAGATCGACGCGATGAACAGAGCGGCACAAGAGGATTCGGCGTAGGAGCCGAACAGGTCAGCCCCCATCCCAGCAATATCTCCCACGTTATCACCTACATTATCTGCAATAACCTGCACAAACCCAGGTGCTTAGAATGCAGAGAACAAGAGAGAGGAGACAAAAAGGGACAAGTCCAAGGATTTTACCGCGGGATTACGTGGGTCGTCTTCGGGGATGTTCCGCTCAACCTTGCCGACCAGATCAGCGCCGACATCGGCCGCCTTGGTGTATATCCCCCCTCCGACTCTCCCAAAGAGGGCCATTGAAGAGCCGCCCAGCCCATAACCAGTTATGGACTCGTAGAGGCCCTCCCAGTCGTCCCTGAAGTAGAGTTTGAACACGTTGATGGAGATGTACAGAACCAACAGGCCATTCGCGGCGAGGAGGAAACCCATCACGGCGCCGGATCGAAAGGCCGTCACGAAAGCTTTTCCAACGCCTTTCCTGGCCTCCAGAGTCGTCCGGGCGTTGGCATAGGTCGCTATCTTCATCCCCAGGAAGCCTGAGAGAACGGAGGTGACTGCACCGAGCAGGAAGGCTAGCGCGCTGAAGGCGGCCCCAGCCAGCGCCGGCTTGCAGAGCCTCCCCTTAGTGTAAGTGCAGGGCTCCTTCTCCGTGCTGAACCCCTTCACGGAACCGAGGAAGAGGAAAATGATCGCACTGAAGACCACCGTGAAGACACCGAGGTACTTGTACTCAGTGTACAGGAACGACGTCGCCCCTACGTGCAAAGACCAAGACCGGAGGCTTCAGAGACGAAGAAAGCAGTAAGGCGCTGAGACTCCCGACGAGGAGCTCGAGACTCACCGACGGAGATGGCGCTCTGGATCTCGGCGCATCTCGCGACGACGGCTTGCTCGTCGGTGCTCTCCTCCTCGTCCCCCATCAGGTTGTCGGCAAACCCGTCGTTCTTCCCCGGATCGCCGGAGATGCTCACCCGGGAGACCAGGAACCACTGCAACAAGGCGAACCCGATGCCCACCGCCGCCGCCAACGGTATCAACGCCTGCGTCGCCGCCTCGCTGAGGAGACCCATCCTTCTTCCAGCCTCTGCGCAGAGAACAAGCGAGGTCGGAGTAAACACCGAAGACCCTGAATAAACCGCTCCTGCCGAAGAACTAACGAGGAAGACGTGGGTCTTACCTCCCTGTTTGCCTCTTAGGAGGACAAAAGCGTGGTTGGCACGTGCGGGCAACCGCCCAGGAAACTGCCGCGCTTGTTGCAGGACGAAGAAGAAGAGAAACCCAGAGATGAGGGGAGGTGGGGGGCATGGGAAATCGCTGGTCTTCCGTTTTCCTATCCGTCTTTTAATCCCTCTCAGGGGAATTCAAGTGTGAAGGCGCGCATCTGCGCCTGATGTCGACTGGGGGGGAAGCTTAGGAGCTAAGGAAATCTCCACCCTGAGCCTAGTCAAGGTGCAGCGCTATGCAACTGGGAAACGGAGTTGACAAATATGCCTCCACCGCGTAATCGAGTTGACCATGGAACGGGCGGATCTGAAGAAATTGGCTCCCCCGGTCCTCTATCATCGAGTCGGTCGGCTGAAGCGATTGAGGTAACGGGTAAGGCGTGCTAGGTATGTGGGAGTCCGCGGAAGTGAGGAGGAAACAGGCCTGAGCGTCGTGGGTATTTTGTCATATTCACCGTGTACTATCTAGCGGCCATGATCGCTGGGGATGATCAATTTGCATGTGTTTCACACGATTACGATCTTGGGGAGGCAAGTGAAGACGGCCGAAATCTGGAAATCCCTCAAAGATGAGAAACTGGGCATCGCAGAGACTCAACCCTGGATGTTATCCAACCAGGGCTTGAACTGTTTTCTTCGACGGGCCTATACAGCTAATATCCGTTGTTCCGATGCAATCATAAATTTCGTTTTTTCAATCAGATATTTTTCAAATGCCTCTGTGACCTCGACGCCAGGAGTTTGCCGTTGGGCGGAACTTGAAGACTCGGTCTGACAATGTTTTACACGAAATTACAACCAAATTCAACGTTTTATGTCCATCCAAGTCGTATTCTGCACCCATGAGAAACTCTGCCCGGATTGGAGGGAGCTCGCTCGCACCCACGGATTGGAGAGAGAGAGAGAGAGAGAGAGAGAGAGAGAGAGAGAGAGAGAGAGAGAGAGAGAGAGAGAGAGAGAGAGAGAGAGAGAGAGAGAGAGAGAGCTTGGTTACGGTAGTACGACATCACGAGGCCTAGATAATCCCCAATAAGGGAAACGTCTTCACGCTGATGTAATTGAAAACCTTTGCATGATAAACGTAAGGCTGCTGCAACTTATTGAACATTGAGTTGTCTGCAACTTCTGTGAGGAGGAGCCACTACGACTCCCCGAGGATTCAGGTCGCTACTTGCTGGACGTAGAGCTGCACCTGAAGTTGAGCTTTATAACGTTCAAGCAGGGCTTGATCTCGGAATAAATCATGGCAAAGTTTAGAGTTAACAGTCACATGAGTGGAATGCAACTCCAAGAAACAGCGAGTGTAGCTCTTAGGTTAATGATGCACCAATTTGCCCCGCGGACTTAAGCTGAACATCCCCATGGCTGAACTTTTGGGTTTCATTCAACCATTAAATGGCTGTCTTCCAAAAATATGAATGCCCTGTAATCCATGTTCTTTAGCGATCCAATGTGCACATAAATAGCAATAAGATTTTGCAAGTATCTACATGTCCTATGGATTGTAGGAGCAATATTCTTCAAGTCTAAGTGGGGTTTTACTCTAACACGCAAAATATCTGGCATATTATGGTGACTTTACCCTCGTGCATCGACGAGCCTCTCTTTTTAGTAATAATTTTTCACGCAAAATAATTTTTCACGTCGGCCGATGAATTGAACTAAGCAAACGACATGGGGAGAGTTGACGACAGGTGCCCGCCATCCATCGGAGTATCAAAGTGTCGCATCATTCCTCGATCAGATGGGTCGGCCGTGGGAGCCCACTCACTGCTGGCAGAATCTGAAACTCCGTCATCTTTTACCGCTCCCACTTTCCTCCCTTGCACCAGACACGCTTTCGATAGCGCGTGGTAGCGGCAACATTGCTGGTAGCTGAAGGGGAGGGGGGCTGATACCAAATCATGACCCTGCAGCACTGCGTTTCGAGTAAAATGGAGAGTCGCTTAACCCCCTACGTGACCAAACCATGTTGCGGCGCTCATCTAGCTAAGTGCAAATCTACGACCCAATGTCCATGATTGGCACACCAATGTTATACCCTGCTAGAGAAATAAGTGGGCGTTGGAGATCTGGCACAGAGTAGAGTTTCAGATGGTCCGGACCTGGCCTTAAGTCATGCTATTATTATAGTCCAACATTTATTTCCTTTAATCATGTTGTGACCCAAAAATCGACATTTAAAATACAATCTAGAGTAAGATCTCATAAACACGGCAAGCATAGTTAGTAGAGGCCTAGAGCTACCATCATTTATGATAATATCTTAGTTCATGTTCAATTTTTTATGCCCTAATCATCGTAAATTCAATTTTAGTGTAACTAATGTAAGACCATTCTTAATACTTTGCATCTAGTGTTATTTAATTTTTGGGATATGTAACTGTCGTGCATGAACATAGTGATTATAGCTTAAGAGAAACTAACAAGTTAGATACCTTGTAAAATTTGTGGCTATACACATCAAAATCATTTTACTGTCAGTGTATTCACCTTATGTTCATAGCAACAGATTAGCGTATTATGTAATAACCACAAAACTATTCTTAATAGAAATCCCAAAGCAAAAAATGAAGAACACGCTGCATCTCATAGCTTGAAAACCATGACAACGATCCAGCATTATCTTAGAAAAAAATCGAATTCAGCGTTTAGAGCTACACATCCCATGAATCACGTATGGGAAGAACTGATTGATCAAAATCTTAGTGCTCTATCTGATTCAAGGTTGTACCTAGTACGAAATATAACGAGCAAACTATGTGAGCATATTTGGTGTGACCAGAGTAAGCACTTGATTCAAAGTCTCCATCGCTCGAATTCTTCTCACTTGATGCCAATTGCCGGAGGCCTAACAGTTTCCTCTCCATCAGCGGATTGGACGCTTCCACATACCTTTGTCCTAGATAATGTCTCCGCCCTCTCTGACACAAAGAGTGTTGTATATCTAACTCAGTTTCTGGTGACGGCCTTTTGCGATAACGTGGGACGCATCAAACCGTAGCTCCCCCTGCTATGAAGAGTGAGGATGGAGGTATCCGTCGTTCTAATGTTTAGTACTCCGAACTGTTTTAAATTTTCCTATTTCAGGTCTGAGACTATGTTCCCCATGACGTTAATTTCGCTTCGACTTGAACGCGATGCACTTTTTCAGGATTTGTTCACTCGAACGCGATAGCTCAAATAGCGGTACAAAGAGACACGTCCGTCATTTACACGATCATGTATTATATTGATCGTAAGAATATCATCTCTCTTGATTTTCTACAGGTAAAAATATCCTAATAAAAAATGCCACTGACTTTGTTTACGTGTAAAATGAAAGTAATATAACGTTCTTTCACCAAGTTTTGGATCAATTTTATGAGATGAAACGTTGAGAAACTGTCATATGTCCCGTCTGCCTTCTGGTTTTGTCCAGTTGGTTGACCTCTCTATGTATTTAGTACCGTAATATGTCCCGTTTCCTATTAACATTTAGTATATTTAAACCATAAGGATACATCTACTTTTTTAGTTTTCAAATTGATTCATCAAATGGAGAAGGGTATCGAGTAGACGCTCCAAAAAGGGTAATATTAAGGCTGAAGTGACAAGGATCAAATCGTGAATCTTCAGTTAATTAAGCATTGAATAGAAATGAAAATATGACAACTCTTTGGTTGATAAGTAGCGGTTCGAAGCTTCAGCGCCCAGTATCATCCATATTAACGAAATGCCCTCTGTGGAAATTCGAAGGCGATCTGGAGCCAGTCCTCGAATGTGAGCCTAACTTGAATGTAACATCGGTCGCAGTCCCTTAATAGGGTATTCTTTAGAAGTGATAGCTCATAGTAGACTCAGCACTTCACGATTGTGAGGTTCACCGTCGAGTTGTGCATTCCAGGGGAAACAACGTACGTGACGAAGTAAGAAGACATAACAATTGATCCTATCAAGAGTAATATCTTTTCTTCCATGCCGAAAACTCCGAATCTAGAAAACCAGAGATAAGTTTCACTGGTTGGTGTGGCTTAACACCGTGCTACAAATAATGTGGATACATTTTTCTGCATGATTTTTTAATAGCGAACTAGAGGGATGCAAACAAAACAAATTGGATTAATCAAAAGCCACCAAAACCATCTAACCAATTAGGTCACTACGACCATTTTGGACCGAACATGATCCTAATCGAACATTTTAAGACGCAGACGCGGTTTGACTGCACAGAAAGACGAGATAATCTGGGGTCCGACTCAGACCTCGTGACGTTGAAATCCACCTAGAGGCAACTGGGGCATGGATGTTCGGCAGAGAACTGTCTAATCTCTGGATGGGAATTCTTGTGATCAATCAAGGGGCTGTTAGTTTTGTACCCTATCTCGAACGCTATCTTCTTGGGAAATGCCCACCTTGAAATAATGCTTAAATATAACTGAAGATGAACCCTCGATCCTAGTATTAACTAAGATCAGAAAACATTTGAATGAGGGGTTCATCTTAGTATGAAATTGTCTTTAGTGCTGAGAGGTTCTCAAGTTAAATATTAACTTCTGCTTCCAACACTGAGGGTTCCAGGGACTATCCGGGAGTTTGGTTGCAGCGGCATCGACGGGACGGAATATTAATTAGGAATGATGGGGGAGAGAGAGAGAGAGAGAGAGAGAGAGAGAGAGAGAGAGAGAGAGAGTATGAAGTGACGTATAAAAATTGCGTCACAGACTTTGAGGAGCAAACTGGACACTGCCATATGAACTTTTCATTAACAGAGCTTGGCTTTGAGCTTTAAACAGCATTATGCTTATTCGTGTCGACTGCCTCGAGAAAGAGTCATACGTGATGACCGGAAGATCTGAGCGGGAAAG